CCCCCAAGAAGTGCATTCTGAAGAGTCGATATTTCTCGCAACTCTCCATTCTACTCTCATCTGCTTAACAACGGGAGTTTCATTCCGAATATCAAAAACGATCCCATTTGGAGCGTTGGGCTATACTTAGCCTTCGTTTTTACTTTATTCTGATGTTCAGGGATCCAAGCGATAGCGGAACTCCTTATCCCCTATCTATTAAGTTGGCGGGAAAGTTCTGTCACATTTGTCAAACTAGGCTCTCTTTTTATAGAAAGGCGTGTGAGATCAAAATTGTACAGAGCAATGCTACTGCGGGGTTATTGCCAGTTTCTGAGGCACGGCTCACTGGATGCTCTCGGCTTCACAATGCAGGGAGCGCACGACAGCAAAGTTGGACCATCTATCCCAACCTCGGGTCCATGTTAGCCTTTTTCTCGCCCTGTATAACGGTTGAATACGGGAGGCGACCAGCAGTCAGAAAGAGCGAATGTCTGGACTACACCTGTGCAAGGGGAGAGCCATCCAGCTCTATTGCATGGGGTACGGCTCGAACTTTTTTGGACGGAGTGCGCTGCACTGTCATGATGAGGGCGGGCTGTGGGACAATATTTTGTTCCCTCTAAATCGACGGTAGCCTTTAGGCCATCGTAGGCCTGCTTTGCGAGGAAACAGCTTCTTCAATCCAGCAGTTTTCCGCCGACCCCAATATGCTCCGGATTAAGCTGAGTTCACAGGTAACCCAAACCTCACTTCGTCATCAAATCTGTAGGCTCCCGCTTTTAAGCATTAGCGTCGTGGAAGGTTGTCCAATGACTGAACGAACATTGTGCCTTCGTGCAGCTCCTTTAATTTTGGGCGTCTGCAGCTATCCATAGCGTGGGCGTACAGGGGTGGTGGAAGAAAAGTTTGAGGAAGCGTCTAGGAGGGGTCAGTGTCGATGGTAGCGGATAAAGTCCTTGTCCATATTGCAGAAGAAAGAAGAAGAAGAAGAAGCAGGATCTTATTCGTCTTGAGTGGTTACTAATAGAACAGACCGACTCTTCAATTATAAGTGCTTAATACCAGTCTCCACCTCTGTCAATGGAGCAAGTATTTTGAGGTTCCGATAAAAGTGTGACAGAGGGCTTTCCCGCCAACCTAATACATTTGGGAGAGAGCATAGTCATTCTTACTGTTACACAGGTTATCACTAACGTCCGTAAGGCGTGTGGCGTGTTGCGTTGATTTTGGCGGAGCGTTACCCCGCTTTCCATCGATTGTTGCACTTTCTCGCGTTCAGTGAGAGATGAGAACAGGGAGTGGAACCGTGGCAGGACCCAGGCAAAGGTGACACACCACGAGTGACTTTGGCGATAACTACTATAAAGTGGGATTGCAGGGGCCACGCCGCGACGCGGCAATGCCACATCATATTTAATTGTCTGCATCCACTCAACGAATAGAAATTTGGCGTATGTGATTATTCTTATGCTCCAAAATGACGTTGTTAAACAAGCCAAACAAGGCATAACGTGGCACAGTCCGCGTCCGCCCTCCCCCTCCCTACACGCCGCCACCCTTCTAGCCTTACCCGTTTCTCTTCGAATGGTTTCAGAAAGATTTCGGACCAACAAGAGCAATCGCAATGGTTTTTAGTTTAACCTCATTTACTTTGGTTATCGCTATTCAATCACATTCATCACTTGTCACTTTACGCATCCTATCCTCCTGGCCACTGAAATCCTTGAGTAGGCGAACGTCGTGACGTCTCCAGGGCGAATCGTATGTTGGGATTCTTAGCAAGGGGTCGTCTTTGGCGCTGGAGGTAGGAAAGTCGTATTTGCTTTTGAGAAAACTGCTTTCGGTTGTTGACAGTTTCTTTGTTTTTGCCGTTTCATCATGGCCTTACATACCCTCTCCTCCTTCCCTGTCCGCTCGACAGTTTTTGTCTTGGGAAAAGAGTGGTAAAAACTAGGAGAAATGGTGGGATGGAGAAGTTGAGAAGGCGGGGGGGGGCGGTGGTGAGCGCCCTGAACGTTTACATTTGCCCTTATTGCGAGCTAAGGTATTCCAGGAGACTTTCGTCCCTTGATCGGTACGGTATCCATCAGCTCTTTGCTCAGAACTTTTATGAAAATGTGGGGCCATCCAGTCAACGGGGTCAGGCCCCATTTATTATAGTTAAGATGGACTAGTGGTAAGGAGTACGAAGAAACCCATTCTAAGTGTAGATGAGGGTACATCCTATAGTTCTATCGGAGAGAGATGCTTTTGAGGGAGAAGGAGCTGTGGGTGCAGGGTTCAGAATCGTTGGGGCAATCCCAGCTGGAGTGGTGCTTGGTTGGTGAGGGGATCGTACACGGTCTCGATATTTTCACGTGTTGCGAAAAAAATCTAGCCGCAAAGCTACAATGTGGTCACTATTTCTGATAGTTGTTCGAGAAGACCCCCCTCAATCGACGCCAGGTTCTCCGTAAAAATTGGGAAAATCTTTGGAAAAACGGGGGGGGGAGTTACAAGAATTCAGCAAGGTGGCAAGTATGATGGGAAAGGGGACCATACAGAACGGGATTTTCAGGGGTGAACTTGGGGATTCGGGGGATTAACTGGGGTCATAAATCGCGAAAAGTGCTACCTTCTGGCGGGCTCGTTTTTACTCCTCTTCACCCTCTTTCCGAGACAGCGTGACGCATGTTTGTCGCACCATAACAGGACGTCGGTGTCCCTCTTCAAAGAACGGCCCCTTCGAAGGCACGTCATGCCATCTATTGTGGCATTCTATTTTAGTGAAAGGCTCAGCCATTCGTCGTACTCATAACCCGCTTCCAGATTATCAGAATCACCTGCTGCAGCTGTTTTTCCATGTTTCGAACTTAATGACCGCTTGAGTTTCTGGCATGGGTGGATTATTCATCCTGTCAATCCGCAGCCTATGCTTCAAGAACCGAAACCAATCCGATTCAATCACATTCCATTAACATCTGTGACACCTGCAGTGAGAGGCTGTTAGATTGTTCTCGGTATGCCTAAGGTTGATTCTATAAAGAATGCTGATGGAATTTTGCTAAAATAAGTGAGTTTTTCTTCCTTCAAACCGACTTCCATGGATGCTCGCTGAGTTTGATCCACCTCAACTAGATGGCCCGGCTTCATCAGGCGTCCGTGAAGTAGCATTAACAATCGTGCGAAAAGCGGCTAGAAGCGGCTTACTATTTGGTCAGCCAATCAAGTTTGTCTTTAGTGGGCACAAATTTCTACTGGCCGGTACCTTGTTCAGGCCACCGTGTACAGACCCGGCTGCTCTATAACTGAAACATGTGATGCCCGCAGTTCAGTTTAACCCTGCCAGGTGCATGCCTCGCTGCGGCAGAATTTTGTTTGCCCTGATGCGAGAAGGCGCATCGTTGCGAGTCTCCACCTATCCAACTATCGCGAATGCGTTGTTTGATTCCGATTGTCACCTGCGCAGTCGCATATGTTGTGAGTGGGAGCTCGCGCCCACAAATTGCCTGAAATATCTTTTCCAGAGCAAGTAATCTCCACCTAAGCTTCCCAGAGCCGGATTTCCTCCATTCAGCTCCAACAGGATGTATTTCTTCTGAAATCGCATAGCGCCCTACATCGCTTACACCATAGTCTCTGCATGAGTAGTTTGTTGTCTTCCACGGATTGCACCCCAATTATTGGAAGCTTCAAATAACAGACCAGTGGACGTATTGTTACAATACCGGCCAAAAAAACCTGGATTTAAGAAATGGTTTATTCAATTACCCAATCATCAAGAAGCCATCTACGTCAACAGTTCTCGATCTCGAGCCCAGCAAATTGCTCTGTGACACAAGCATTGAGCTGTAGGCGCAAGAAGGCCTTTGATGGCGTTAGAAGGATAGCACGACTACTCGGAAAGGCGTTTGCTGGGGCGGTGCCAAAGGGTCAAGAATCGAGACCTGTGCGGGGAAAAGTACGCCGGATCCAATATAAACGCGACACAATATGAAAGGAAAGTAAGGCGCGCGAAGGTTTTAAGACAAGGGCGTCGAGGCGTGAAGTTGCTCAAGAGCCCAGTATCTAAGCGCAAAAACATCCGTCTGCGTTTCTATTTGCCGTATCTATCGTCTTGCTCGTTTGCACGCTTTCCGGCTCCTCCTGTCTGGCTATCGCACGAAATTCCTAAGAATCTTCCTTCTTACTCGGAAGGGAAGCTGATGCTTGAGCGGTTGCTGAACTAGCCCAGGATACCGTGTTCCCTCTAACATGAGAACTCTTTGACTTCCTGCTGCGATTTTCCGTAATATGCATGGCACTAATCTACGCGTTCTCATCATTGCGGACGGTGGGGCTGCCAGCCAGAAGGAGTGTGCACACTGTTGAGCCGTTCTCAGCCTTTTTTGTTGCAACGCGTATGCGACAAAAAGTGGTAGAAAACGAGTGATACGAAGGAATAAATACAGTAATGCACTTGCCCGCTTCAAAAACTGGTGCAGAACGATTTTGCCAAACCGCACCAAACGCAGCCGCACTGCCACGCCCCACCGGTCCGCAATGATGAGGACTGTACATTCTCACGAACGATGGATGATTGAATTCTTGATAGTTTTTTTTGGTGGGGAGTGGGGAAGGGAGAGGGAATGAGGTGTTACAGAGATCGACTCTTCATCATTCTACACTAAATCCGCTTTTTATATTCAATGGTGTAAACCTCGTCTCATAAATCGCAACCTGTTGTTAGTTTTCATCATCGAATCTTCACGATCAGTCTTATTCGCTGGGCGGCTGGGCGGACCAAAGGGGAGGAGTTGTAGCGCAGAGCCAGCCCGCTTTGCCGTTGTTCCTCTGCGTAGCGATAGGGGACTGTCTCAACCGGGCTTGTTCTCCACAACTCAATTCTACGACTACCTGTCAAGAAGTGGTGCAAAGTGATGGCGCTACCCGGTAAGCGGGAGATGCGGATTCGAGGTCCGTCTCGAGTCCGGCTTTTGCCCACATGTTGGCATTCTTGTGATTATGTACAATTTTCAGAAAAGTAGTAGTACAGCGAAATGCCTCAAGATGAGGTGAAAAGCGAAAGCACAGGCGATACAGGAGACGAGACTTTTGAAGACGAGGACGTGAATCCATATCGCACCTACGGCACTACAACAAATGGATTTGATGGCGATCATCGACGGTATAAATGCTGTTGTGGACATATTCATGCCATGGTAGGTAATTAAATCAGGGTTCGCTTCGATTTATTTTTTATACGATATTTGTTTACATTGTTGACTCCTTGCGGAATGCAGTAACAGTACTTGCTCGTTGTGGGTACTTGGAGCTTGCCAAGGCTGGGCTGGCGTGGGCGAAACACTTGTTCCACCAAGTTGTTGTCGCCTGCTTACTTCGAACATCTGTTAGGTGGAGTACGCAGATTGGCCCCGCCGCGCAAAACCCAGGCCCTCTGGTATGCGCCATCAGTCCTGTGGCCGACAATGACTAATACAGGGTGACCAAAAAGTTCTGGCAATTTTTCGGAATACTTCGGTAGCATAAAAAATACCGTTCGAAAAAGGAAATCAGCCAACTAAACGTCTGGGAGTCTTCACCTCAAATCATTTACAATGACCGTATACAACAAAGTTCCAACAAGTGTTCAAAAATGCCTCCTTCAGCCTCAACACATTTACGTAGTCGTTTTCCAAAGTGTCCGACAATGGTCGCGCATTCTTCTGCTGTAGTTTGGTCCCAAACACGCAGCAACGCCACTTTCAGGTGGTAAACCGTTGCGCATCGAATTCCTGAGATTTTTCGACCCAGATGGAATAATCCATGGGGTTCGGACCATGCTAGTTGGGAGGCCAAACGTCCTTGCCCCAAAATCGGGAAACAGCTCTTCACAAGCGGCAGTTCGTGGGTTTGGCAGGATGTGCTGGCTCCCAGTCTTGCTGAAGCACATGTCCATCCGGGCCGAAGTGCTACGACACCCATGGCTTCAGTACATCGCGGAGAACGCGTTGTTGGGAGTAGACAGCATTAATCTTTACGATGCGCTCGATGAAGAAATGAGAGGTCTTCCCGGTGGCACAGATCCCGCCTCAGACCGTGACTGAGGCTGGAAAGAGTCTGCGTCCGACGGATTTCACAGCCGTTGCCTTCTGTTGACCTTTTCTGAGGAGCAGACAACAATTCCGGTAGTTGTGATCGAAAATTTTTCTCGTCGGTGGCGAGCACATTCTTCAAGCAACAAGCACCGACCAGAAGATGGGTTTCAACAACTGCAACTTTTTGATTTTTTCGAGACAGTGCGAGGAGAAATCGAAAGTGATTGGGATAGATGCACTCGGTCGGTTAGTTCCGAAATGGCATTCTCGGAATACAAATAAACCTATCGAGAGAAAAGAAGACCATAATGCGCCATTCCGGGAAGGAACGCACAAACACGAAATTGCCCAGAACTTTCTTTTGTCACCCTGTAATCTCCCCACAGAGCTTCTAAACACTCCCTAACGCATAGTCCGATGATAAGATTGGCGGAGTCAGGCTCTCGTGGTTAAACATCTTCACTATGTGGCCTGCTCATTCTGTTCCCAGTCTCAGCATCTCCAAAAATGAGCAAGGAGATGAATGAGAGACCCGTAAGACAACAACGAAGATCCCGCCTCCGCCCATACAACATTTTGCCCCTGGAGGTTGCTTTGACTTACGGGTACAGCCGTTCCGCGAAATACTCGGCCATCATTTTGTCACAATTTCACGTCATTTCATCTGATTTCCCTGCTCAAGGCGTGCTCTTACAATTTTAGAACATGAATTAGATGCCAAATAGACTACGTAAAATAGAGCAGAGAAAAAAATTCATGACACCCCATGTGTGTCACGCGGTCCGCAACGTGTTTAAGGAATGGTTTCAAGGCTTTTGAGCAGAAGTGACGTACTCCGAGTGATTCGCGTCCTTTCAGACCGGAATGCAGATCATCGTCGCGCTTTTGAGTATTACTGTATTCTTCGACATGTGGCAAGTAATCGGAGGAGCTGCCGCAAATACGCAGTTCGACCGAGGGCTACCGATTCACTACAAGTTCCTATTCCGTACACCTACCGTGCACCACACAGCCACGTCCATGATAATTTCAGTACGAGCATTGGCCTCGTTTGTATTTTCCCTTCCGTCCCCCCCCTTCGTATTTTGGCGCCGGTATCACCGGCCACCATTCTCATATCATTGCTCACTGAACGGACCAGCTCCTTCTTATACCGTTACTCTTCTGCTGCAAGGTGAACCTCCTTTCTGGATTTAACTGTCCCCTTGTTCGTGCTCGATTGACGGGCACTTTAATACAGGGTGCAGGCCTTGCAGCAGGAATGGTGTTTTTCCGTAGCTTTTCTGTATATTTCACTTTTTGGCGATCGCTCAACTGCTGTCTCATTTCTACGCTCAAATGGCCATCTGATCCATTCACCGGATGACGCTCAATTGAGTGAGCTCATATCTTTCATCGTGGCGTTAGCACTATTATTCGGCCCAAAGGCCAGTCGCGGTGCTAGTTGCTGCACCCTTTGACAGTCCATCGTTCAGTATGCGTTTCAGTACTCGCGATGGCTACCCAATTGACGCGCGTTATGACGCTGAACGGGAATCGAAAGCACGCCAGCCGCTTGTGTTTCCAGAGATTATGGAATAGCACGGATAGCCTTCTAGTCACATGGAATGGTATCGATCGGGCACTGGCCATCTGCGGCTGCGTTCAGTCCATAGGTTTGGAGCGCTGTTGCGATTGCAGCGCGTCGACGCGCGTCATCGCGAAGTCTGAAAGTTGCCTTAAGAATACAATTTATCGCGATCAAGTATTGCGGGCAATTGTACTCTGTCATGCACCAGTATTCCATAGTTAGCTTCTCAGTAGAAAAAGAAGCAGAAAAATCTTCGGGAACACCTTGAACCCAAACCTACCTTTAGCAGTGGGGCGGGGCCTGGACGAGTGTGCCGGGCGTGGCTGCCAGAATTCGATGCGGCAGCCGCAATTGCGTCCCAACTTTCGAAATAGGATACTTTCGAACGTAAGGCAGCGTTCATACTTGTAGCGCTACAGCGTCGCACCTACAGGTCCGCCGCTACAGCGTAGCGCTACAGCGCCGCTTCGCAACGTACTGCAATTTCCAACGACAGCAGGAGGGGATGATTAGAGTTGCTTACAGAGAAAATTGGGAAGGTTGCTGGAGTTTTCTTGAGAAATTGACAAGAAAAAAAAAAGAAAGAAAGAAAATGACAACAAACCCCACTTGACAACAAATCTCCCTACCATTGGAAAAGCAAGCACTACATTCCATAAGCAAAAAAAAACTCTAATGGTTCCGCACTTTCACACATGTTTACAAGCCTGACCGAAGTAAGACCTTTAGCTGAGCTATGAGCCAACTTTGGCAAAATGCCAGTGGGACCGCGCCGTACCGCCCCAGCGGGCTTGAAGGACGCGCGGGCTTTAAAGGGACGGATGCAGTTCGGGACCAGACGCCTCGTCCACCTACCGTCTCCGTGAGCCTAGCGAGCCTTGTCGAAATTGCGATAACTTCCGCATCGCGGCGCCATATTAAACCCTTTTTTGTGATATTGCCGGGCCTGTTCGGCGATGGGGGGGCATTTTGCGCTTTTGCTACTTCCTATCGGACGTGTCACCCATCTAGACAGCCTCTTCTCGGGCTGACAAGTATTACCAGGATGGCTTGACAGGCTTGCTCTAGCTTCACAAGAGTTCACAGGTTTCACGAGAGTGAGACTTGTTAACCGGAACTAGTGACGCAATGAAAGTAAAATGCCCCCCTGTCGCCGAACTGCGCCCTATGACGTCAATCTTCTTCTTGTATTCTAACGGTTTGTAGAAGATGGAGGTGCAACAGGGATGAGCCAAAAAAATCTTTCTAAAATATTTCAAATTGAAAAATTGGAATTTTTCAACTGGCTATTCCTATGCCAGAAGCCTCCTAATCGAATCTTTTTGGCTAAAATTTGAATATTAAATTTCAATTTTTTGAGAAAGGACTACGCCTTTTGGCACTGATTGCTATATTAAGCTACCTTATCTGGCTTATGAAATCCTTATTATCGCTCCTTCCTTTTTGATCTAGCGCCATATTGGCGCCAATGGGCCGCCAATCTACGCAACTTTCTTCCTGCGGAAAACATTTGTAAATATTCGCAGTGCGGATGACTGGAATCCTTATGATAAACATAACGTTCACTTCCGGCGTCAGCTTAAAAGACAGCGCCCGCGATGGACTTTGGCAGGTTTTAGGGGTCAGATTTGTTAGAACAGGTGGCAAATGAAGCATTAATCAAAAAAAGTAGGAAAAAAGGTGGTGCAAGAACAATGAAACAAGCATTCCTATCCATATTTAGAGGCATCTAGACGAGTTTTCCAGATCTGGGTGAGGTAAGTTTCTCCGAAAGTTATTCGATGCCTGCGGCTAATTCTCATGAGGCCACTACCTAGGTTATCTTATCTAATCTAATTAATCCACGCTGGCATTGATAATCGATGTGTCTATGAGTTAATCTCTCTATCAGTGTACGAAACAAACGCTAGAATTTAGCGATTATCAAAGCCAGCAAGGATTGACAACTGTTAACCAGTCGGGGCGGGATTAACAGGACAGGCGGCGTCAGCTTAGCATTGTTGACTCCGCCCTCGTCAATCAATCGATTTCGAGCCGCAAGAGTGGGATATCCGCTGTGGTTGCGGACTCCGCGATCTTGTACAGTGCAGGGTTTTTCACCTTGGTTGATCGCGGACGCTGCCTTTAAGTAAGGTTAGCTCTGCTCTGCTTGCCCGCGCACTGCCAAGGCTGAGCGTGAGGAAAGAAATCCTACCTTGCTGGACTATTGCTGGACTAATCCTTAGCAGAGCTCTGAAACCGAAAAGTACTTCGGTGTAGCCATCTATGACTTACTGTATATGCACGAAAAAGCAAAAATGCAAAAAAGGCACGATCACGCTGAAAAGTGGGCGTGGTCGCGGAGCGGGGCTCGAGATGGTGTCCAGTGGGTTGGAGTAGCACTCACTGGAAGATTGCTAGATCATTTTGGATAATTTCACAGAGTGGCAAAAAAATGGTCCACGAGAGGCAATATGAGCCACCGGTGGCTCATAGCTGAAGCATGCGAAAAAACACCATTTTTCCCACGCGGCGCTTTCCCTTCTAATGCGATTCTCGTCAATGTGTTAAAGGCAAATGACACGATAAATCAGACGTATAGGGTCGATACACTCATTGCTAGCACGGAAGAATATTGCGCCCCTCAGCAGGACTACGTGACGCCTTTTCCAACCAGGAGCGAATTCGTAGCGCCTGGCCAAGTTGCAACGTGCTCACCCACACGCCCATCGCAATTGCTCGCCCACAAATGGCCACAGAGTGACATTGATGCTGGTACTCGCATCGTTTATGAAAAACAATTTATATGAGGCGTTGGTACATGTATGTATATATATGAATATGTAAGTGCAGCCGTATCTATCAAAGCGATTGTTGGCACGATGCCAACGGAAAACTCGTTCACGAATGCTCGTCCAACGCATTGCAGAACGAAGCTTTTTTCGCGGGTTTTTGGCCAACTAATTTCGCTTTTTCATCATTTTCACCTATATAGCACCCCCTAACATTTTTTGGTAAGTACCAAGTCGTGCCCTACGTCTTTGGTCACCTGTCACCAGGTTTACTCATTTTACACTTGCGCCTTTTGTTAGGTACAGGAGAGGAACCGTCGGGTCAGCTTCCGTCACTGCGCTGCTTATCGAGCCCCCTAATTCAACGTATAGGCCAGATCCAAATATTGCACTTCAGTTCTGAGTGAGAGTAGGTTACGCGGCGCAT